CTATCGACAAGTATAAGATACTCGTATATTATGTGATTTATAGAGAAATATAAAGAAGCTATTGAAATGACAAGAAGAAAATTAAATCAATTTTTGTGCTTTAACGAAGCTCTACTTTTATCGTAAATTCAATAAAATATACTGACATTTTACGCGAGTGTCAAAGCAAGAATATTAAAATTAAATCCATTTTTATCTATTAAATAGAAAAGATTGATTTGCCACGTTATGAGATTCATACCACAGACAAATTGAAAAATATTAAAAAAAATATATAAAATAAGAGATTTGCTTCTATTAGAAAAATAAAAACAAAAATTATAAAAGTAAATGCTTTATTCATACAAATTAGATTTTGTGGTTCTTTTGAACATGGATTCTGCTGTTTTGCAAAAGATGACAGCCTCTGGCAGTGCTGGCAAATATTTGATTGACAATGCTTCCAGTTGAAATGATGAGAATTCTGAAAAAGTTGGTCCTTGTGTATTGCAGCAAAACATACTTTAGCAAAATAATGTTTTCTTGCTTGAGTTTTGTATGAATATCTGGTTTTTGGGATTTTAAGTAATACATCTTATGGCAACGTCTAATTTAATAATACCTTTTGTACACCGAAGCGTATGATGAACATAAATCAGACATTTTACAAACTTTGGAACATAATTAGTTTAAGAAAACTTTTTTCTTTAAAAAATATGTGTGCGTACATATATATATGTATATATATACATACGTATGTATACATAAAAATTTTACTTAGTCATATTTAATGAAATATTTTTGATATTTTAAATATTATTTGTTGGTACCAAAACAAAGAATGTATGGGAAACATTAACAATATTAAAAAATTGATTAGAAATTAAAGAAAATTCACACGTCAGTGAAGAAAAAATAATTCAGTGCAAATATTTTTTGATTTTACAACATTTCGTGTTTATTAAGAAATAAACTAATAAATTATACCATATGGTTGAAATGATTACAAGATTTTTAATATAACGTACAATCAATATAGCATAAATATATAAAATATATTTGCTAAGAAATCTTAGAATAGATCTGGTCAAAAAATACATAAGGAACAGAGCCCTAAAGCTCTATGCGAAAACCGACAGGCTGCCGAACTTAGCACTATCTAATCACAGATCTTTGATCAGTCATTGAATAATCACGAAGCTTATAAGGAATACACAAATTAATCAGTGAGATGGGTGGAACTTTACAGATGCAGTAACTCAGAAAAAGGCTCAACATAATAATAATAAATAAGAGAAAAATCAACATAATTTATTGCCAGCTAAACGGTCATATTAATCTTAAAGTCTGACAAAATTTATTTGGATATACTAAGCAACTGTCTATTTCCCCTTAACGAATCGAGAGAATGAAACCGCGTTACTTTATGGTAGGTTATAAAGCGTGAAAACCACAAGGGTAATATTTATCATTACCCTTGTAGCTTTACTAAATGAGTAGTCCAATTTCTAGTTATTATAAGTAAGATATTCTGTACTCTTACGAATCATCATTTTAGAGAAAAACTCAAGTACTTCGGAAAATTAGAAATTAAGACCCTAAAAAACTAAAAGATTCATTAACTAATCAGTCTAATCCAGGCTACTTGCACTGAAAAGAGTCTTTTGACTTCTTTTTAAAGTTAATTAGAAAAGACTAATATTAAATATTAATGTGAGCTTTGTTTTGAATTGTCAGATTATTTTGTATTTTATAAAACTTACAACCGTAAATAATGAAATAATTATTTTCTGTGACTTCAAATATACTGTGATTTCATTTGTTCCACTCCAGCGTTTTATTTCAATTGGTAATGACTTCTGTTGAAATTAATTCAAGTACATCTAAAATGTCCTTCATCAACTGCGATCTGTTTCTGTTGTCCATTAAATAAAAACATTTAATTGTGTTTATATTTTAATGCAGAAAAAGTGTATTGTTTCAAGAACAAATGCTTTTTAATTGCTTACTTCTTCCATCAATCAACTTTAATAAAGTATTCCTTACACATTTTGCCTAATGAACCAGTGTTTCTGGCAACTGTGCTTCGGTTTCATTTCATCCTTGATGTGTTGTTTACAAATGCTTAGCTTTAACAGAGCATTTCAAACTTTTGCTGGCATTATTGGATTTATTCTTTCTGCTTATCCTCTTTTGTTAACGATGGAAAACTTGCTCCTGGCAGCCATATTGGTTTTGTTCTTATTCTCTGAACGTGTCCTTGTGCGAAATGCGAAATAAAATGCAAAAACTTTCGCTTGCAGTTTAATTGAACAAGTTAAAATTTACTTTGATTACAGAAAACTTAGAAAGTGTTTTATTTAAACGTTTTTTAATGACGCCATTAAAAATATTTAATAAAACTTTATACATTGTATATACCTATTTATGATAAAGAAGATATTGTGTCGGTATAAATAAAGAAATTAATTTACAACTTTTTATTGCTCAGATAAACAATAACTTTATTCAAATATTAATGTCTACAGTTGTATTTGTTGCTATTTATAAAATCTTGCTTCAAATGTCTTCCTCTTTATTACTGCTTCTGTCCGCAGGGGTCAGGTATGACTTTTTGTAAAACTAACTGTGTGAATACCTAAAGAAGTACTATCAATTCAGTAAAATTTAAATTCACAATCATAACTGTATTCTTTACCTTTACCTCTTATGATCTTCCGACGATACAATCTGATCAATATTACTTCAAAGAGTCTATATACGTCTAGTTATTATATTCTCCTCCATAAAAATCAAATTGTCACAATGAAAAAAAAATAATATACGAGTGTGATTTTTGGAACTATATGTCTTACAAATAATTATAATTCAAGTACACAATCATAACTATATCCTTTATCTTCACCTCTAACGATCTTCCAACGAAGCATTCTGATCAATATCGCATCAAACTTATTAAAGTCTAGTTATTATATTCTCCTCCATAAAAATCAAATTGTCACAATGAAAAAATAATAATACCCGAGTGTGATTTTTGGAACTATATCACTTACAAATAATTATAATTCAAGTACACAATCATAATAGTATCCTTTATTTTCACCTCTAACGATCTTCCAATGAAGCATTCTGATCAATATCGCATCAAACTTATTGAAGTCTAGTTATTATATTCTTCCCCATAAAAATCAAATTGTCACAATGTAAAAAAAAAAAATACGAGTACAATCTTTGGAACTATCTCGCCGACAAATAATTATAATTCATGATCAAAAAGCAAAAGAAGTCTAAGATTTCTCCACCTTTTTTATAAAAAGATTTATTAGAACATTCTGCGAACATTTTATCATTTGAGAAGTGTAGAAGTGTATTTACCCAGAAAATACACTGAGCAAAGGGGCAATTCAATATGCAGTTCGTACAATTTAGCTATCTATAGCTACCACAATCTTTGACTTGTAGTACTGATCTACAAGAACTTTCTTTATCTTGATTTTTACAATCTCTTATGTACTGCATAGGTTCAATTAAAATTTATTTAAATGTAATTGTTAAGTGGTTTATTTTTATTATTTTTTCAGGACTTAAGTAATATGTTTTATTCAAAAATTCTGTTAAATTGCTGTCCGAATGGAGTAAAGCACTACGACCATGACTTCTAGCGGATCCTAACTGTACAAAAGACATCTGTACTTCGAATGAAGTCAAACTGCCAGCTATTAAAAATATCCTAACATTAGTTGGATATAGGCTTTTCCAGTTAAATTATCCTATCTTTGTCCCGATGTAAGCCAGACAGTCATAGAGAATGTGACTAGAAATCTCATTTGCCTTCCAAGAGAGTCTGTCGACTCTGTTTCTTATTAAAAAGATGACGCAGTCCATGATGATCCGTAAAATAACCTACAAACTTCCTCAGCGCTAAAAGCTTAAACATAAATATTATACACTTTTTTATATTCATTAATATGCAGAGTTTATTCTATTATTGTCTTTATAGTACTCATGAAATTACATAAATATTATCTTTTATCTTAAAGTAGATCCTTTTGGAATTTAAAGTGGTTTACTTTGTCATTGAAACATGTTTATTATTTAAGCTCTGTTAAAAAAAAATAATCGCGTATTATTTCATAATAGCATTTTATTTAATTTTCTAATAATTTAGCAGCTAAGTAACATCAAAGTGAAATAATATTTTGTGACAATTTTCTAAGCTTCTATAAAATTAAGCAAGGTGTCGTCCTTTTTTTTTTGTTTTAGTTGCGTTACAAAAACGTAGTTACAGTTAATTATCTAAAAGCATTTCTGATTTAATTAATTTTATTTGACTTTAGTATTTATCTTTATAAAGATTAAAAGAAAAGTTTTGTATTGAAGTTGCGTATATGCCATGTTGACATTTTCGTCCTTAATTTGGGATTTAACTTAAATTTCATTTCCCTTACAACTGCTAAATGTAAACAAAAATATGTTGTCCTGGCAAATTAAGTAAAACAACTTTTGCTTTATTCCATGCATGTTAATTTACTGAAATGAATATATTTCAGAGATATTCGTAAATGTCCTTTACGACAACATCTGCGTACAGTACAGATGCAAACATTAATGTAATTACAGGCTTCCGGCCAACTCACGGATAAATTTTGTTTATATTTTCTCTTCACAAAAAAGACAGAAATATGTTTTCGATTTCAGTCGAATGCAAATATTTTAACTTAATCACAAAATTTAGTGGAAATGCAATCAATCTGAATTAACTTTATGATTTTAAGAATTGCGTTGTTTTAATAATAAATTAAAGGAAAATATTCTTATATTCTGTGATGTAATTAAACGATATGCTTTTTTCTTGTGATATTGAAATGCAGCAAGGAAAGTGGAGATGATGGATTGGAGGTCATAATCGGTTTACAATTTCGTAATTTTGTCAAATTCCTTTCTAATATAAATCGATTAATAATAGAATTTGGGCATTTTTGTGAAACTGAATGCAATAGTATAAAAATCTCTTTACTCACTTGAGCATAAGCACAAGGTTCTTTGCTGCAAATATAAGTCGCAGTTTCAGAATTTTGTAACATTTTTATTTATTTATAATGGGTCACGTACGCCACTACGCTCAGTCACAGCCAAAGGACTGGAAGAAGAACATAGTGGGCCATCTGTCAATACAAAATTTTAAGCAGGAACATTGTACTAACTAGTTTGTTCTAATATAACTTTATACACTTTTAAGTGAAGTTTTAGCAAACTTTTTTCTCTAACTTTCCCTAATCAAAAGTGAGGTAGTAATGGAAAGAGAAAATGGTTTATCAGGCCATTGCACAAGTCTTTCGAATCTTACGATAATGGAAAATGGTGCTATACTACAGTACCACTATTCGTATATCACTAAATCACAACAAGAATTGATACAAAATTATAAACAAAGATTATTTTGCTCTACTTAGTTTGTTAGTTTGTTTACCTAAGATTCTGTGAAGTATAGAATACAAAGAGACTCAAAGAAAAATTTCTCAAAAAAAATAGACAAAATTAGAAACTGAATTCAAACTAAAATAACACTACATATTTAAGTGATTCTATATAACCAATTTAATTATAACTAATATATTTTCTATTTTTATTATTAAATTTAATATAAAAATTTTTTTTTATTTTTGCAGCATTACCTAAAGCAATTGAAGTACATGCATCTTTAAGTTAAGGAATAAAACATAAGAAATAATAATTTTCGAATATGTCAGACCAGCAAAAGCAATCATTATGTCCACGTTTAGTGGATTATATGGCGATAGTTGGAGCTAGAACAACACCGCCCATACCGAAGGGTATGCAAAATAACAAAACACCACCTGTGCAGGTAAACAAATTAAAATACAAATAAATTTTTTATATTAGTATTTATGTTATATATGGGTTTATAATATATGTGCACATATATATTGCGTTATATTAATGTATATGTTAAATACGTATATTTAAAACATTGTTTTTATAAATATCATTTCATCATATCGCTCTCTTTAGATACCAGAATTATTACGTCGTTATCCGCCTTCCGATCATGCAGATTTTCCATTACCATTAGATATGGTATATTTTTGTCAACCTGAAGGTTGTACAAGTGTTGGTCCTAGACGTACAGGCTCAGCCATACGCGACATGACATCTTTTGTATTTGCACTCACCGATAAAGATTCTGGCAAAACACGCTATGGCATTTGTGTTAACTTCTATCGTCCAATTGAAAAACATTCTTCAAGCACAGAGCGCAGTGGCAGTCATGGTAATGTGGGTTTAACACAAAGTGCACGTGGTCGACGTAGTTCTGCTTTTCGCCGCGAATCCTGGCGTAAAAGTATGGAGCGTAGCTCTGATTCAGCTTTTAGTAGGCAAGTTAAAGCGATTATTATATATGATTTAATATATTTTTTGCTTTTGCTCTTCATCTTATAAGTAAACTTTTTTGTTGCCAATTAAGTTATTAAAGATAAAATAATTTTTGTAATAGTTACGGCCTCTTAACTTCTTCTAGCGACTACAGAAGTAACGTCGCACCAAGTGATTCAGACCGTGAAATGACTTCTCGACGTGATTCAGATCAAATGCATCATGCTATGCATACACCACAAGTACCTAAGTTAGGTTTAATGGCACCATCTGCTGATTCCGAATCTGGTGGCAGCCATTCTCCCTCACCTCGCGCTTCACGTAAACGCACAAAACTACGAAATCAATCACTTACATCATTATGCATCATATCGCATCATCCGTTCTTTACAACATTTCGCGAGTGTCTTTTTATATTGAAAAAATTGATTGATGCTTGCAATGAGTCATCATCACCCAAACGAGTAGGTGCATCACAAAAAGTAAATAGGTAAGCACTAAAAAATAAGTATTGAATTTGTTAAATAAATCATCCAAGAAAAAATTTTTATAGAGATAATGTTTGGACTGTTTTAACTGGACACGCTAACGATACTACACCATCCACAATAGTTTTGCACGATGTGCGAGAAATTGAAACATGGATATTACGTTTGTTGTCTACCCCTGTACCTGTGCCTGGTTCCACAAGAGTTGAGGTGCTTTTCCTTTAATTTCTTGCCAACTTAACGTATTATTTTTTCTTTCATATTTAATTCATTGCTCTTTAACAGGTTGAAGTACTTTCACCTACAGTACATGAACCTCTGCTCTTTGCCTTGCCTGATCACACACGTTTTTCCTTGGTTGATTTTCCTTTGCATTTACCACTGGAGTTACTAGGTGTTGAAACTTGTCTGAAGGTGTGGACACTTATAATGTTGGAAAATAAAGTTCTTTTTCAATCGCGAGACTATAATGCGCTCTCCATGTCAGTAATGGCATTCGTTACTATGCTATATCCATTGGAGTATATGTTTCCGGTCATACCGTTATTGCCGACATGTTTGAGCTGCGCAGAACAATTGTTGCTAGCACCAACACCGTTTGTTATAGGTGTGCCAGCAACATTTTTAATGTACAAAAAGAATTTCCGGTGAGTATGATGACAAGTTTTATGATTATTTTCAAAAACAGTTATAGTTAGTATTATATTTATGTCATTAATTATTATGGATTTTAAGGAAGTTTTGTTAATGCCTCATCAGCTAAATCCTTCGCTTTTATGTACAGGGAAATATTTTTTATGTGTAGATATAATTCGAAATTTAAATTATTTTTTTACATATAAAATATATATATTTGGTATTAATACTGTAATAGTTAAGAGATTTATACTCTTCTTTTTGGCTTGATTCAAATTCTGAACTATTCTTCATGACTATAGGTATTCATAACAACATTAACTTTATACTTAGCAAGTATAGCGTTGGTTAGGGTAGCTATGAAACGTAAATCTATGCTTTAATTTTGACAGGGTTTGAATTCAAGCTTTGGTACTTGCTGTCTTAAAAGTATATTGTAATAATTGTACCTAAAAAATATTTCTTAAGACCGCTAATTGTGGCTATTTGGCTGTATGGCTAGAAAAAAATTCAATTGATTGAAAATTCAGTTTTCCTATTAATTATTATTTCAAAAACAGGTTTTTCAATACCGTTATATACTGTTGTACATATATTACTTGTTATAAGTAATTAATATATGTCTTATATTCCCTACAGTTTACCTGACGACATTTGGCTAGTTGATTTAGACTCAACAAAATTAACACCACCAACAGGTGGATATGAAG